AAGAGAAGGCTTAGAGGTGACCTCATCACTCTCTTCAACTACCTGAAGGGAGGTTATAGCCAGGTGGGGGTTGGTCTCTTCTCCCAGGCAACCGACAACAGGACAAGGGGACATGGGCTCAAGCTCTGCCAGGGGAGGTTTAGGTTAGATGTTAGGAAGAAATTCTTTACAGAGAGGGTAATCAAGCATAGGAACAGCCTACCCAGAGAGGTGGTGGATTCACCATCCCTGGAGGTTTTTAAGCAGAGATTGGATGTGGCCCTTAGTGCCATGATATAGTAATTGGAGTTGGATCAGGGGTTGGACTCGATGATCTTGGAGGTCTTTTCCAACCCAATCTATTCTATGATTCTATGATTCTATGAAGGTGGCTGTAGGAGGCCTGTGGTGCAGCCAGGGAGTGCTGTTGTTGTCAGCCAAGACACAGGTCCCTTTGTGCCCCACGCCTGGCTCTGTGTGAGGTGTGGATGCCGAGGTCGGATGGCACGGGGGGGGACCGTGGGGAGAAATTACGCCTTGTTAGCTGTGGTTGGAAACTGGTGAGTGGATTAAGATGTGAGGAATTATCCAGGAGGAGAAGCTATTCTGGACAGAGCCGAGACCAACGTGTTAAAGGAAAACTGAAAATGTATAGAGCCCTCCAAACTGGTTATTTTTTAAGGGGTTTGGAAATCGTTGTTAATGCTGAGAACTAATGTCTGGAGGACTATGACACATTGTTTAGAAAACAGAGCAGGGTGATAGCATTAGACAATAAATCTAGTGATCCTTTTGTCATATCCATCAGCAAAATTAGCTCTCAGAATTCTTAATGGAAGGTAGGTAAGTCTCATTTCCATTTAGGGGTTTCTAAGGGACCTTCTCTGGCCATCTCAGAAAAATATGAGAAGCTGCTGAACTGCTCATCCGAGCTCTGCCTATCTTGGATAACATCTTTCAATCACAGCGCTTCAGAAAGGCTGATCTTGGGATTATTTTGATGGATTATTTTGATCAGGCAAAGGAGGAAAATATCAGGCAGGTTTATTGAAATGGATATGTCAGCTTGGCACAATACCATGTCTAGGATGGTGTTGGGTGAGCCGTTTTCTCGAGTGGAAAAGGTGGCACAGGAGTGTTCATTGTGAGAATGATTTCCAGCCTGGAATAACTACATTGTAATGCACATTATCACTAGGGAAGGCCATAAGAAATGTGATAGGACTTTCATGATGATACCAATATCTTTTAGCTAAGGTTATGTAGTTTATAAAACTGTATAAAACTGTAGGAAAGCCCTGCCCACCTCTTGAGAGAGGCTAGTACTAAACTGCTGTCAGGAAGCTGATTTTTATTTTGCCCACAGAGTCCTTGTTTCAGTATAATCTGTCTCTTTTGAGTTTTTCTTGATCTTTTATAATGTCACATGACAGGTGTAGACCTTAAATTCTGTTCTAAAGGTGTGCTGGGTGAGGCAGAAGCCTTCACAGTGATGGGGAGAGTGTTCTTGCCAATCTGACACTTGCTTTTCTATACATGCACTACTAATTTCCTAATGTTCCTTTCTTTCCAGCAAGGCACTATCATTAGGCATGCAAAGGGTTCAGAAAGCAAGGCATTTGTGATTTACCAAAAAAAGTGTGAAGTTGTAAGACAAGTTGCTTGACAGTAATGGGTAAACATCCCCTTAAAATGCATGAACACACAAAAAAAATCAGGAGTGGATTTGGGAGCAGATAATAGAATGAGGGAGATAACTATTTCTTGCAGGTTTATTGTCTTGCTAAAAAGACTTCATTTTTGACATCACAGTTAAAAACCACAGCAAGTGTGTAACATAGATCAGGAGAAACGTAGTTCATTGCCTGTTGTATCTAGAAATAATGGCTTGTTATAATAATAAATGTAGTTAAATAAGTACTGTGCAATAGAAGCACTAATCCTGTTTTGCATTTTGCATTATGTTTATACAGACTTTAAGCAATAATAGCAAAGATTAAAAACAAAATAATAAAAAAACCCAGGCAGCAAATATCCAACTAAGTCCCCCTTATACTGAAACCAAGTGTTTAGAAGGCACAAGTGAAATAAATTGTAGCTATTACTCAGTTTTTAAATATTATTACTCTCTATTCAAACAAAATAAATGAGAAATTTTCTTGTAATTGAACCATGAATTTGGAGACAAATCTGAAAGCCTGAGGTGGGTTGGTGTTCTGATGACAATTGGGGGGGGAGGGGGCTCTGATGGGTTCAGGACAAGGATTAAGTTTCAAATGTATGTGCTTAAGGCACATGCATGTATTTTATGCACTGTCGACCTTAAAGCAGAGTTATTCCACAGAGCAGGAGTTATCATGTTTTGGAAAGGCTCAGTCTGCTTCATGAAGGCACAAAGTCATCTTTTGCTGCCGAGCAGATTCTGTTTGTTGCTGCGCAGGCATGTGCTTGGTGGCCTTTGTGTCCAATCCCTCGGCTCTGGCAGCTTTCAAAAGGTGGAAAGCAGTTGTATGTGGAAGCCAAAAATCAGAAAGAAATGTTGAGCTGAATAAAATATTTCAATTTGATGTTGAGGGGCTTATCTTTATAAAAAGACATGGAG